TTTAGATAGCATCTCACTCGGTTGCCCAGGCTAGAGCGTAGTGGTGTCATCATAGCTCACTGCAACCTCACACTCCTGAGCTCATATGATCCTACTGGCTCAGCCTCCCACATAGTTGGGACTACAGGTGTGTGCCACCATGCTGGGCTAATTTTTAAAATTGTTTTTTTGTAGGCCGGGCACGGTGGCTCACGCCTGTAATCCTAGCTCTCTGGGAGGCTGAGGCGGGCGGATTGCTCAAGGTCAGGAGTTGGAAACCAGCCTGAGCAAGAGCGAGACCCCGTCTCTACTATAAATAGAAAGAAATTAATTGGCCAACTGATATATATATAAAAAATTAGCCAGGCATGGTGGTGCATGCCTGTAGTCCCAGCTACTCGGGAGGCTGAGGCAGAAGGATCGCTCGAGCCCAGGAGTTTGAGGTTGCTGTGAGCTAGGCTGACGCCATGGCACTCACTCTAGCCTGGACAACAAAGCGAGACTCTGTCTCAAATAAATAAATAAATAAATAAATAAATAAATAAATAAATAAATAATTTTTTTTGTAGAGACAGGGTCTCGCTAAGTTGTCCAGGCTGGTCTTAAACTCCTGACCTCAAGGGATCCTCCCACCTTGGCCTCCCAAAGTGCTGGGATTATAGGTGTGAGCCACCTCCCCTGGCCAATTTTTTTCCTTTTAACTTGGGAGTACTCTTGCATTTTTCACACATCACAAATTAAGACCACTTAAATAGCAATACTGAATACTGCTTGAGGGAAGCCAACATTCAGAAATCTTTTTAACCTATTTTTGCTAAGAGTATGGAAAACTTTCTTCAATTTGTTTAGATATACATACTCCCTACCCCTCTTTCCAAGTAATTCAGCAATCTGAGGGAAAGGAAAACCACAGCATGTATGTATCTTTTTTTTTTTTTTTTTGAGACAGAGTCTCACTCTGTTGCTCGTACACTCACTCTGTTGCCCGTGGCATCAGCCTAGCTCACAGCAACCTCAAACTCCTGGACTCAAGCAATCCTACTGCCTCAGCCTTCAGAGGAGCTGGGACTACAGGCATGCGCCACCATGCCCAGCTAATTTTTTCTATATATTTTTAGTTGTCCAGCTAATTTATTTTCTATTTTTTTAGTAGACACAGGGTTTAACTCTTTCTCAGGCTGCAACTCCTGAGCTCAAATGATCTGCCCACCTCGGCCTCCCAGAGTGTTAGATGCTTGTATGTATCTTGAGAAAAAGAACACTGTCTGTAACCAGGTGGATCTCCATGAGGTTTTAGAAATATTCGCCAGAATGTTAATTAATTCTGAACTCAAACCATACCTCCAATACTTACTTCTCTTATGACTCTTTTCCAACTTTATTTTAATCCTACATTTCAAAATTTACTATCTTCTCATTTTTGGCACTCTGTGGGAACTCAATAAATATGTGCAGAATAGAATAAGTGATTTAGTTTAGTTATTGTTCCTCTGGATAAATTGGCCTATATATAGTAAATGGCATTGTTCTCTGTCACACTACTGTTTATGTTCACAGGCCGGGCGCGGTGGCTCATGCCTGTAATCCTAGCACTCTGGGAGGCCGAGGCGGGCGGATTGCTCGAGGTCGGGAGTTTGAAACCAGCCTGAGCGAGACCCCATCTCTACCAAAAATAGAAAGAAATTAATTGACCAACTAATATATATAGAAAAAAAGTAGTTCCAGCTACTTGGGAGGCTGAGGCAGGAGGATCACTTCAGCCCAGGAGATTGAGGTTGCTGTGAGCTAGGCTGACGCCACGGCACTCACTCTAGCCTGGGTAACAAAGTGAGACTCTGTCTCAAAAAAAAAAAAAAAAAAGAATATGTTCACAATAGAACTCTAAATAGATATATTGACTCTTTGGCTTATTTCTAGAGCTACTAGTGCTTCCCAGAGTAGGAACCACATTCCCAATGTGGATTTAGCTGCTATCTGTTCAGGCCCCAATACCACCTCCCTCAACCCCATATTCTAGTGATTAAATGTAGTGGCAGCTGAGGAAGGCCATCCCCACAAATAGTTTATTGTGCCTAATGTAGGCTCTCACTGTGACAAAAAAAGGGAAGAGAAAACAGAAAACTCAAGTAAGCTAGAGACATATAAATTACAGAGTGAGAAGGTCAACTGCCGGACTGCACAGTGTGGGAGAAAAGGTTAGCAGAGTCTTCACTGAACAACTAATTCGCACATATTCTATCTATCTCAGAAAGAGAAAAATTACAGAGCTATTCTTGGGATGTTCAAGAAAAGATTAAAATGAATGCTATCTATTTTACTTTGAGATAAATTTTACATACAGATTTTAGAGTAGGACACATTTCTGGACTTGAGAATGCTATATCTGGGCTTGGGATAAAAGCCCACATTTCATCTAGAGGTAGCATGTGTGTCATCCTAATCGCCCTGAGTCCTTTCTTCTCCAATTGCTTTATTGCTCCATTTATATAAGAGGTATACTGTATATTCCAAAGCTGATACCTTCCAAATTCCTTTATAGTAGACGTCTTGGCTATCATAACCATGATGGAATGAAATGACTGATCCTACAGCTGGCTGCAAAAGCCTGCTATAAATAAATCCCTGATGGCTAAAAAGTAATTCATTCAACAAAGGAAAAAGAAATGAGATAAGCACGACTTTGGCCTACTCTCCATTAAAATGCTTGTTTTTATTTATTTACTTTTTTTTTTTTTTTGAGACAGAGTCTTGCTTTGTTGCCCAGGCTAGAGTGAGTGCTGTGGCGTCAGCCTAGCTCACAGCAACCTCAAACTCCTGGGCTCAAGCGATCCTCCTGCCTCAGCCTCCTGAGTAGCTGGGACTACAGGCATGCGCCACCATGCCCAGCTAATTTTTTTTCGTGTGTGTGTGTGTGTATGTATGTATGTGTGTGTGTTTAGTTGGCCAATTAATTTCTTTCTATTTATAGTAGAGACGGGGTCTCGCTCTTGCTCAGGCTGGTTTTGAACTCCTGACCTTGAGCAATCCACCTATTAGTAACTTGGATCAGGTTAGGTAATCTACACACACATATAATGGAATCTTACGTGAGAATACAAAATTCCATACTGATTATTTAGGTTAAGCTTGCATACCATGAAAGCTTTCCAGTCTTTAAACAGAAGTTAAACTCAAATTAAGCAATGTTAGCCTTACTCAAAACAATGGAAAAGCCAGTCAGAGAGAGAAAGAGAGACATCCCCCTACACCATCCCTGAACTCCTGATATTGATATTGGAAATTAACTTAAAAATTTAAGCTTGAACTTCATGCCTGTACCAGAGAAAGACAGTGGGAGAGGAAAACCTTAGCTTAAGTCTGGGTAAGAATCCTACTAAATGCAAAGTAGAAAAAGAAAAAAAAGAAAAAAGAATCCTATTAAAAACAAATCAGGTGTTTTTGGTACAAGAGGCCCGTGTGCTGCTATGTGGTGAATGTATCATGCTCTTACTCTATAATCCTATCTTTCCCTTCTCAATAAACCTCATTTTGTGCTTTAAAAAAAAAGTAGCCTCTATTTTTGGAGGTCCTAACTAGTAATTTCTACAAAACAGTACCCAAATCAGCAGAGATTCATTAACTACCTGAAATATAAAGATAAGCATGTATCCAGAAAGAATGCTTTATCCCAACAACAGAGAAAAATAGTCTAGAGAGTAAAACCAATGTGACCACAAACTCTGCATAGGAGGGCTTCTAGTATTAACAACTGCCAATAATTCTCCAATATGAATAAAAACAAAATAAAAACAGGAAATCTCATCTCTAAATTCTTCCCATTCATCCAGGGAAGCAAAATCAAGGAAACTGGAGGGGATAAAGTCTTGCATCCTAGACACAGCTGCAACATGTCACAAGACCCAACCCACTTAAGGCACTATTATGCCATGACGACAGATGTCACACAAACACCAGCAAAGGGTTACAATGTCAAAGGGCCCAGAAGTCGTATGTGGAGTGAGCTCCACTTCCATCCAGTATCAGAACAAGAGAAAAGATGGGGAAACAGAAAGTGAGCCCAGAGAAACAAAATATGATACCAAGAGCTTCATCTAAATAAGTGTATTGAATAACGTGGTTAGTTCTGTTATGGACACCATCCATCAGAGGACTGGAAAGGAGGAAAACTTGGTCTTTCCCAAAGGAAAAAAGATTATTTCACTTGGTTCAGGGTAAACAGTCATAATTTTAACTGTCATGTATTTATTGTATGAAAAACATGTTCAAGAACATAATATGCAACGAAATCTTAATTTCATAGAAATTATTGTTTAGACTGAAACAATTTAAAGCAAACCTCTTTTCAGGCAATTAAATAACATCAAAAATATGTGGCAGAGGATCGAGATAGAAAGAGATTACTGGTGGCCAGGAGGTGTGGAGACAGGCGAATGGGGAAAGGTTTCTTTTTGGAATCAGATAGTGGCGATGGCTGCAAAACTTTGTGAATGTACTAAGAACCACTGAACTGTACACTTTTAAAGGGTGAATTTCTTGGTAATTAAAAGAAATAGGTGGACACAGACACTGCATAAATCAAGACGGCGACACATGAATGAATTTGGGAGACCTGCCTCATAACGAGGGAGGCAGCGCCAGGAGCCTGAGGACATGGCCGGACAGGTTCAGGCCGGGGGCCTGGCCTCGGTCCTCAGGGAGTCCTAGTTCTCCTCCCATATGTGAGGAGGCCGGAGCGCGGAGCTCCCGCCCCGTCCTTCCCTCTGAGGACGCGCTTCTGCCACCAGGGTTCCTCTGTCTGGTCAGCATCCGCCCGATCCCCCGATTCCAGGCCCTCTCCTCCTTCAGCCACGACCCCGGCCCTCGAGACTCTTCCCCTCCCGCCGTCCCGACCCCGGCCCGTACGCAGCCCGCGGCCCCTCCAGCGCCGCTCCCGCCGCGGAGCGCTCCCCGACAGTTGTCCCCTGGCCCTCGGGCCGTCCGCGCAGGCCGCTCGGCGGCGCCCCGGCCGGCGGCTTCCGTACCTGTCTTCTCGGCGCCTCCGTCCCAGCGGCTGGAAGTGAGGCCGTCGCCCTGCACACTTCGGAGGGCCATGCCCCGGGGGCCCAGGCCCCAGCCTGAGCCCCGGCTGGTGACGGAGCCGCGAAAAGACGCGGCTGTGGCCGCCGGACGCAGCGCCCGCTCTGCCGGGCCAGGCTCGGCTCCTTCGGGCCGCGGCGCGCAGGCGCGTAGCAGCCCCGCCCCGCGCCGCCACGTGATCCTCCCCTACGCCGGGCTGGCGGCCGCTATGTGGGACGCCCGGGAAAGAGAACGCGGGCGCACCGGAGAGCGTTCCGTCCGCTCTGGAGCCAGCGTGCTGAACAGCAGATTGCGTCTTTTCCTTTGCTTGCCTCATCTGTAAAATGGTACTGATGATAACAAAAGCACTGAACTCACAAGGTTATTGAGAAAGTGCTTAGAACATTACCAGCCATATAGTACATGCTCCGCAATCGTGAGCTATTATTTTTGCTTACCAAGGACTTCATTTCCTGTCTCATCTCACCACTCGAACTCCTGTCATCATACTTGGCTCATTCAGAGTTTAGTACGAACATCGCAGACAGCTCCACAGGTTGTGCACTGCACAACGCCGGAGGTGGGGTACCATTCAAGTAAAGGATTATGTGAACAGTGCCCCCTTTGAGTTGTACAAAACAGTGACCACTCATCCACTATAGCACTCTGGCGTTTCACCTCCTCGTCGCTGATGACATTCCTTTCTTTCCAGTACCAGCGTTACATCCGTGATACTGTCATGGCCTCCCAAATCCCCAACGCTAGGCCCCCACGCTGACATTCCCATGATCCCACTTGCTCCATGACCTTCCTACCCCCTACTTGCCTGTCTCCTACAGCCCATGGAACCCATTACTACTGGCCTCTTCTGGTTTCATGTCTATCCTGTCTAATCCAGGTTTCAGGGTCCACCATTACACTTTAAGTCCTTTTTTAAAGGTCCTTCATGGAATTTTCATGAGCAGAAAAGATTACTCTGAAACTAAGGCCTGGCGTGGTGGCTCGCGCCTGTAATCCTAGCACTCTGGGAGGCCGAGGTAGGCGGATTGCTCAAGGTCGGGAGTTCAAAACCAGCCTGAGCAAGAGCGAGGAAATTAATTGGCTAATATATATAGAAAAAATTAACCGGGCATGGTGGTGCATGCCTGTAGTCCTAGCTACTTGGGAGGCTGAGGCAGGAGGATTGCTTGAGCCCAGGAGTTAGAGGTTGCTGTGAGCTAGGCTGACGCCATGGCACTCACTCTAGCCTGGGCAACAAAGCAAGACTCTGCCTAACAAAAAAAAAAAAAAGAAATGAAGCTAACTGTATTTCTAAAATTAATATTCAATTATTAAAATTAGAGATCTCAAAACTTAGTTCTTCCTTAATTCCAACTGACAAATGTACAATTCTATTCATAAATCTAGTAATTATAACAATCACTTCTTTGGTCCCATTAATAAACTTAATTAAAATCCTTTGAACATTTGAAACTGGATTTATACATTTAATAATTCATTTTCTTTTGTTTGTTTTTTTCCTTATCTCCATTCAGAGGGACATTTTCCTTTCTTAAGTATCACAATTTTCTGTCTAACAAAGCCTTTCAAGTCCTTTTGTAATTCTTGTAAATGTGATAAATTTACAACTGTGTTCAGTTCTTGGAATTGTGTCTATACAAACTTAAGATTTCAACTTAAAATCACAAGTTTAACTCTATTATTCAAATACACATTTGTGACTAGGTATGGTGGCTCACACCTGTCAACCCAGCACTTTGGGAGGCTGAGGCAGGGGAATCCCTTGAGGCCAGCAGTTTGAGACCAACTTGAGCAACATAGTGAGACCTCATTTCTATGGAAAATTTGAAAATTAGCTGGGTATTGTGGCACGCACCTGTAGTCTCAGCTATTGAGGCAGGAGGATCACTTGAGCCCAGGAATTCGAGGTTGTAGGGAGCTATGATCGTGCCACTGTACTCTAGCCTGTCTCAAAAAGCAAAACAAAACAAAAACATGTTTGTAATTATTAATAGTATCACAGGAATAATCTGTTAGAATTCTCAAAATTATCTTAAACATTGTAAGAATCTAAACTATGACATTTACATAGACTCTTTAATGCAATATTATTTTTCTGTTTTTTTTTTTTTTTTTGAGACAGAGTCTCACTTTTGTTGCCTGGACTAGAGTGCCATGGCATCAGCTTAGCTCACAGCAACCTCAAACTCCTGGGCTCAAGTGATCCCCCTGCCTCAGCCTCCCGAGTAGCTGGGACTACAGGCGTGCACCACCATGCTCAGCTAATTTTTTATATATATATATATATATATATATATATATATATTTAGTTGGTCAATTAATTTCTTTCTATTTATAGTAGAGATCGGCGTCTCACTCTTGCTCAGGCTGGTTTTGAACTCCTGACTTCGAGCAATCCGCCCGCCTCAGCCTCTTAGAGAGCTAGGATTACAGGCGTGAGTCACCGTGCCCGGCCCATTTGTAGTCTTTATTCTAAACCATCATTAAGGTTAAAAGATGTTTAGTGTCCACTGAAAAAAAATTCAGTTATCCTGATTTAGCAGTAACCTGCTCAAGCAATCTGAGGAATTAATTCCTTTTCATTTTTCGTGCTGGTCATCCAGACAGCTGGATTCTTGCTTTTCGTAGTGATAGGACAGTGACCACCCTCTTCCCCACCACGGCTACTCTCGGACTAAACAGTTGTGTAGTCACTGTGAAGCCTGGTCCAGCTCTCACCCTCTGTAAAACAAGGAAGTGATGGCTCTCAGGGAAAAGGAAGAAATGCTCAAGGTGAAGAATGAAGTATCCCTTGGAAACACCCAGTTCTTGTTCTGTACTGGTACGGCATCTTCTGGGCAGCATATTACCTAACTGTATTTCATCACCAAGAAGCTGGAAGTAATAGCATGAGCAGGCAAACCAGTCATTCTGCCTCATAATTCCTCATTCCCTTCTTGAAAGGAGCTTTACGTATCATGCAAGAATTTTTTTTTTTTTTTTTAATTTCCTCACTTCCAATGGAAACATATGCAAGAATTTTTAAAAAGCCTTCCTGGACCAGCCTGTGTCGGTCTATGATCTGAGCAATTGTTGGTGCTTTGCGGCTTGGGCTTAGAGCCTGTAGGTGACCCGGAGCCCGTCAGGCTGGACTGCCACAGGGACTGCCACGGGGCCCAAGACATTAGGAAGCACAAACATTTTGGAAGACCTCAAATCACAAACCAGGAGTACTGAACCCGTTTGTTTGCTCAACAACTATTCATTGTCCTTACCCTAGATCAGATCTGTGCTGGGATCCAACATGTTTCATTCTCTGCTCTCCAGGACAGCTCAGGCTGATAAGGGACAGACTCTTCAATTTATAAGGGGTGAGAAGGTCTAGGAAAGGGAGAAGCAGCTTAGAGTTGTGGAAGCCCAAAGAGGGGCACACACCACATAATGAATGGGGCAGGAAAGGGTGAAGAAGTTTCCTGAGTAGGTAACAACTAGGTTTATATAGACGCATGGTTACAGTAAGTCAGTTTGTTAGGGATGAGGGTATGCAGGTGGCAGGGCAGGCAGTCAGACATGTGCCTGGCAGGGCCAGTGATAGGAGGATGTGGTCAAGGGACAAGTGTAGGGTCCAGTAAAAACAGAGAAAAGAAACCACAACAGCAAGAACTTGAAGTTAGGGACTTTGACCCACCAAAGCATGTGCAGAAGGTAGGAGTTTATGGTCAAAGGTAACATTTTCCTCATGAACATAATAAAACTCATACCCCCTAGCGACAACCCCTAGTGACAGTTCCAGAGACAGCCATATAAGGACAGAAAATGGGAGGGTACATGATTCTGAAAATCTCCACCCAATTCCCCCTAAAGACACAAATATTCCACCCCCATCTTGACATATTATTAGGGATTAGCATAAAGAACAGACCCTAACCCTGAGGTGACGTTCATTATTGGAGCAGTCTGCTCTCTACTGACCTTGAGAGTGTACTATACTTTCTATACTCTGTCTTTAAACTCAGGGTTGCATGAGGACAGACCTGTTCCTCTCTGGAACTTACTTTCACTCTGCAATAAAAGCAGCTTGTGGAAATGCTTCTGTCATCACTCCATCCCATCAGCCCTGCTTGTGATTCTTCTAAGCAGGAGCCAAAGAACCAGGACACCTCTCTCTAACCACACCTGGCAAGTCAACAGTGTGAGAAAGCATTCTAGGCTGAAAAAACAGCACAGGTCCTGGTGTGGAGTTAAGAGAAAGCAAAGCATAGACTAGAAACTAGAAGTTGTTAATTTTTTACTTTTTTTGAGACAGAGTCTCACTTTGTTGTCCAGGCTAGAGTGAGTGCCATAGCATCAGCCTAGTTCATAGCAACCTCAATCTCCTGGGCTCAAGCAATCCTTCTGCCTCAGCCTCCCGAGTAGCTGGGACTACAGGCATGCGCCACCATGCCCGGCTAATTTTTTTGTGTATATATTTTTAGTTCATCAATTAATTTCTATTTTTAGTAGAGACGGGGTCTTGCTCAGGCTGGTTTTGAACTCCTGACCTCGAGCAGTCTGCCCACCTCAGCCTCCCAGAGTGCTAGGATTATAGGCGTGAGCCACCACGCCCGGCCTAGAAGTGGTTTAATGTTACTACAGCACGGTGTGAGTGTAAAAGAGAAAGTGAGCTTTGGCATCAGGTGAGGGCACAAAGTGTGCAGGGGCCGGTCAGGCAGGGCCTCATAAGCCAAACTCAAATTTGGACCAGATGAAGCCAGCAGGGTAGAATTACAGTATTTTAGCATCAAATAGGGTCTTTGAGGTCATTTACATTAATTCGCACTCCCAGTGTAAGAATCAGCTCCATTTATACATACGACAAATGCTTATAGAGCACTAATGCTGTGCCAGGCTTTGAGCTGGGACACGGAGTGGCAGATGTTAAGTTGCTGAACTTTTAATCGGGAAGACAGACAAGTAACCACACAACTGTAAAGCCAGGTAAAAAGACGTGACAATCTAGAAGTCTAGAACATGGAAAATCCCAGAAACCAGAAGAGATTCATGGGGAGACCAGCTAGGTCTCTGTGGTAGGCAGAATTCTAAGATGGTCCCCATGATTCCCACTCATGCTATGCACTGTACACACCTGTATACAGTGTTGGCCACTTCCCCCCTTAAGTGTGGAGAGTACTTCTGAAT